AAGGGCAACCCTTCCATTTAAGACCATCTTTCAATGCGTTTGCTGACAATCATGTAACTGGTTTTCCCCAATTTGATGGAGCAGAGACATAAATCCATTTTTATAGCCAGAGGCTTTTTGCAAGTAGAATTAGGGTGTGATGCTTAAGTTGATGATGTGATGTGGTAAAGCAGTATAAACCAGTAGTTAAGCCAGGGGCCTGAGCCACGTGTCCCAGGCCTGGCTAAACTTGTTTGGCTGTGTGATGCTAAACATCTGAGGTAATAGTTCATACCGATACATGTCCAGCATTAAGATTCCATGGTAAGACTGCTAGCTGCCAATTCCTTAGCAGCAATGCTCTTCCTTGGTAACAGACCTTGATTCTCAGCTGGGCTCACTGACACCCAGCATAAAAGCCTCCATCCTCCTGTCCACTCTGCAGCTAGCGATAGCCAGGCGACCAGACTCTGGCCAATTAATGCAAGCACATACACCATGCTGGACTTCTGGGAAATTATGGGAGCCAACTCGGCCACATGGGACACCTTTTCTGTGCTTCTGCTTCCTCTCTTCCTTCAGGCCCGTAACTTGGACCTCTTAACTGGCACTCCAGCAGCCATCTGGACCACAGGGTGACAATGAGGATGGAAGCCATGTACTGGGATGAGGGAGTAAAAAATAGGAGGCTGGGTCCCAGACGCCAATATGGAGCTGCCCTAGAATCCTCCAGACTTCTTTTCAAAGACAAGTAAATGTAGACCTGGTTTAGCCACTGTTATTCTGTTTGGCTTTTCAGGTTACGTACAATCAACGTAAACTCAATGTAGATTCTCTATCAGCATAGGCTACTATATGCTATACTCCTTCCACTGCCAGTAAACTGCAAATGACTTTTTAAAGTAGGTGATCAGGATAAAAAAACATTTTAATAAGTCACTTTCCTTTCTAACAGCTAGGAGTTTATCATCGACTGCTTTTTCTTTCCCACAAAGACAGCTCCCATGCATACACACTCTTTTCTCTAACTGTCAAAATCATCTAACACATATAATTCCTAGTATTCTGCCCTCGCATGACAATGATCAAAATCCAATTCTCTGGAACCGTTAACAAAGCAAGGAAAACAAGCCAGTGCTCCCATCTATGAAATACAAAGAAGTCATGGCTCCCAAGCTGGAGACAACGGGCAAGGAAGTGGCATAACACCTCTAAGATAATTTTCAGCCTGGGCCACAAAGTGAGACCCCCTCATCTCTATTAAAAAAAAAAAAAAAAAAAGGGGTGGGGCATGGTAGCTCATGCCTGTAATCCCAGCACTTTGGGAGGCCGAGGCGGGCAGATCACCTGAAGTCAGGAGTTCGAGACCAGCCTAGCCAACATGGCAAAAACTTGTCTCTACTAAAAATACAAAAATTAGCCAGGTCCGGTGGCTGGCTCCTGTAATTCCAGCTACCTGGGAGGCTGAGGCAGGAGGAACACTTGAACCTGGGAGGCGGAGGTTGTAGTCAGCCAAGATCACGCCATTGCACTCCAGCCTGGGGGACAGAGCGAGACACCATCTCAAAAAAAAAAAAAAAAAAAAAAAAAATTAGTAGGGCATGGTGGCACACACCTGTAACCCAACTACTCAGGAGGCTGAGGTGTGAAGATCACTTGAGCCCAAGGGCCAAGGCTGCAGTGAGCTCTGATCATGCCACTGCACTCCAGCCTGTGTGACAGAGTCAGACCTTGTCTCTAAAGAAATAAATGAATTAAATTAAAATTAAAGACAATCATTTTCAAGGCATGTACACATTACAATGGAATAAGAACAGTGGTGGCCAGGCACGGTGGCTCACACCTGTAATCTGAGTACTTTGGGAGGCTTAGGCAGGCAGATCATGAGGTCAAGAGATTGAGACCATCCTGGCCAACATGGTGAAACCCCGTCTCTACCAAAAGTACAAAAATTAGCTGGGCATGGTGGCGCATGCCTGTAGTCCCAGCTACTCCGGAAGCTGAGGCAGGAGAATTGCTTGAACCCTGAAGGCAGTGGTTGCAGTGAGCCAAGGTCGTGCCACTGTACTCCAGCCTGGGCAACAGAGTGAGACTCCATCTCAAAAACAAACAAACAAACAAAAAACGGTGGTATCATCAAGGCTCTTATTAGCTACATACAATCCTTGGCAAACATCCACCGACAGAAAAATGTCAAAGTGCTACCCCAACACACATGTAAGATTTAACAATTAGCATCAACATCAGTACCAACCATGCAGTCCAGTGGACCATAAACATTACTGGGCATCAACTGTATTGAGAAGGTCCTTTAAAATACTGCCGAATGTGTATTATACAATTCCTGCAATCCTGATGGCTCCCCCTTGACAATGCTAAAACCCACATAAGGACAAAGAATAGACTAGAGTTTTGTCTCCTGAATAACAGTTTTGTCTCTTGCCCTCTCCTACAAGCAGCAGAACCTTGACAGGGTAACTTGTCCTTCATAAGAGCCTGCATTCCCAAATACAAATCTCCTAAGAGGTAAAAATGTGTAGGTATAGCTTAAAATTATACTAAAATTCAAAACTTCATCAAGCAAACTATTAATTTTTACAACTCTGTTATCCTAGCCGGACTTTTTTTTTTTTTTTTTTTTTTTTTCTTTTTTTTTTTTGAGACGGAGTTTCCCTCTTGCTACCCAGGCTGGAGTGCAATGGCGCGATCTCGGCTCACCGCAACCTCCGCCTCCCGGGTTCAGGCAATTCTCCTGCCTCAGCCTCCTGAGTCGCTGGGATTACAGGCACGCGCCACCATGCCCAGCTAATTTTTTGTATTTTTAGTAGAGACGGGGTTTCACCATGTTGACCAGGATGGTCTCGATCTCTTAACCTCGTGATCCACCCGCCTCGGCCTCCCACAGTGCTGGGATTACAGACTTGAGCCACCGCGCCCGGCCCGGACTTTCTAAATGGGCTCAATTATGTAATATTACAGTACTTTGCCTAGTTCTCTCAACATGATAAAGATATTAGAAAAAGTAAAATAAAGAAAATTCAGGTTCTCCATTACATTTTCCAGCAATACATCTGCTTTTTCTTATCCCATCACTTAAAGCAATCCCTAGGTAGAAATTACTCTGAAAAGAGGTCACCAAAAGCTTTAATTTATTTAAAGAACAGAATTTGGGAGGGAAGATGAAAATAATCATATGATAAAGAGACAGGTAAACGGCAAAGAGAAAAAGAGAAACCAGATTTTTAATGCAACTTAAATACTTCACATGCATCATATCTAAAATACATACCTAATGTTTCATACTCATACAAGAAGGAATTTTTCTATTATTAAGGGGGAAAAGAATACAGGTAGTAAAGATAAGTGTACATTTGTATATGTATAACCCAGATATGCTTAAAAATGTCAGGAAGGATATGCCAAATGTAATAGTTGTTCTCTCTAAAGGAAAACATTATAGGTTAACTTCCTCTTCTTTTTATCTGCACTTTCTAATTTTCTACAAGAAACACTTACTACTTACATAATTTTTTTTAAGAGATGAGCTCCCCCTTTGTCGCCCAGGCTGTCTCAGACCTCTGGGCTCAAGCAATCCTCTTGCCTCAGCTTCCCAAAGTGCTGGCATTACAGGCGTGAGCCACTGTGCCCTACCACTACTTACATAATTTTAAAATGTAGTTTTAAAAGTAAACAGATTTACAATAGCATCAACAGAAAAATAACCACATCTGGAGCAGCTTGGAACAAAACAAAGTCTGAAGGATTTCCAGGCTCAAAGCTGAAGGATGCGGACAGAGTGAACTCCCTGGGCGCCCGTGCTAACCCCTCACCAAAGTCCTTCAACTCAGATGCTCTCCTCTCTGGGACAGGATGCTCCAAGTGATTTTAAGTACATACCATTATGCAACTGTGTCCTCTTTACCACCCAGTTTAGGCAAAGGAGAGCACAAACTACCACAAAAAAGAAGCGTATTCCTAGCCCTGCTGATTCAGCCGCCATGAAGGACTGGAGCTTCTACCAACTCACCATTTAATATTTAACACTTGCTTAAAATCCAGTTTATGGATTCTGGGTGTTTAATAAACAGTTGCTTCTCAGTTCCCTGCTATTAAACACTAGGTAATTATGACATTTAATTAATACCACCCTTGGGCTACAGGAGGTCAGTAACATTGCTAGCAAGTCATGCTCTCAAAATGGACATTACCACCTCAATCAGCTCACAGTTTAAACAATATGATTCTCTTCTTATAGTCCCTTCTCTGATGGGTACCTCAAGTTGAGGTGTTTAGGTAAACATTCAAACAGATAATAAAGGTTTGCTCTACCTCTTGTTCTACAAAGAGGAAAACCCCTTTTGTGATGACATTCACACTTCCCACAAGTGAAAAAATAAATCTATATGTTTTTTGCACAGCCTATCAGAATTACACATTCTGATATGTGGAAGAAGAGCAGGCAAGGCCATTCTTGACTGCTAAAAAAACCTCAAAATTATCCCAAACTCCTCAGGCGCCTCATTCCTCTCTTCCTAAACCAATCTTTCTTGGCACTCATCTCACCCCCTACATCTCAATTCAAGGATGGAATGTGTTTAAGCAAGGAGTTTCACTGCCCATTAAGGTTCCATTAGGAATCCACACCTTTTTTTTTTTTTTGGGACGGAGTTTCGCTCTTGTTGCCCAGGCTGGAGTGCAACGGCACAATCTCAGCTCACCGCAACCTCCGCCTCCTGGGTTCAAGTGATTCTCCTGTCTTAGCCTCCTGAGTAGCTGGGATTACAGGCATCTGCCACCAAGCCCGGTTAATTTTGTATTTTTTACTAGAGACAGGGTTTCTCCATATTGGTCAGGCTGGTTTCAAACTCCTGACCTCAGGTGATCTGCCCACCTCGGCCTCCCAAAGTGCTGGGATTACAGGCATGAGCCACCATACCCGGCCAGGAACCCACTCCTACTGGCGTCATGGAATGCATCTGCAACTGCTCTGGGCCCCTCCAGCCCCATCTCTTCATACTCACTGTTGCTGGACTTAAGGTCGCGGTGGATGATAGGAACAATTGCCTCATCATGTAAGTAGTTCATCCCTCTGGCAATCTGCACAGCCCAGTTCACCAGGATGTCTGGGGGAATCCTTTTCCCAGATAACACTCTATTCAAAGGTCCTCCACGAGCAAACTCCATAACCAAGCAGAGGTTGGGTTCCTTCAGACATACCCCTCTTAGGGCAATGATGTTGGGGTGCTTCAGCATGGCGAAAAGCTTGGCCTCTTGGCGAACATTCTCTATGGTCTGGCTGATGTCCTCATCAGGGTCGTGGCGAGCTGCTTTCACAGCAACCTCATCCCCTATCCAGAAAGCACGATAGACCTTCCCAAAGCCCCCGATGCCAATAATCTCTTCCAAGGTTAGCTCCGCAAAATCAATCTCTAACACTGAGAAAGGGAAGGAAAAAAGAAGCAAGTCAAAAACATCCTGAAAACACCATATTTAACCATTCATTTACCTGGATGGGTAAACAGGGCAGGCTGTCTATTTACTGGGCCTTTCTGTCTCCCCATTATAAAGTAAATTCCATAGGGGCAGGAACTGCAATTAACTTATTTTCCTTTGCATTTTCCTTAGTGACAGTCATCACACAGTAGGCGTTCTATAAATATTCATGAAAAAAAATCCCGCCTAGAAAATTATGCAGAATCTGTACCAAAACCAACTATTATAACTAAAGGGAACATGGGGGAGATCCTTTTTTTTTAGTTTTTTAAAAATACATTTAAATATAGAGATGGGGTTTGCCATGTTGCCCAGGCGGGTCTTGAACTCCTGAGCTCAGCAATCCTCCTGTCTCAGCCTCCCAAAGTGCTGGGATTACAGGAGTGAGCTGTTGCACCTGGCCGAGATCCTTTCTTTGAGACTTATTCAGCTTTACTGTGTGCTCAGTAGTGAGAAGCACCCAACTCAGTACCAAGGCAGACACCTAACAACCAAACCATAGGATGAGAAGAGCTTCTGCAGAAGTATGATTAGAGGCTTAGGAAAATCACTAACTCCCACAGCAGCACAGAGCACTGAGAGGGTGAGTGGGGAAAGGATTCTCAGGGAAGGTAACATTTGAAATGGGCCCTAAAGAATGAGCAGGAGAGATCTCAGGCAATGAAGGAAATCAGGGTAGGAACGGACAATCAGGCAGAGGGAAGGACGGAAGCCAAGAACATGGAACAGGGAATACATGGTATATTATTAGGAACTCCAGGGAGTCTGCTGGGGCCGGGTCATGTGCATCAGGATTGGAGACGAGGCTCAAAACCTTGTTGAGGGTAACCAGGCCAGAAAATGTCTTTAAAGCCATTCTGAGGGGCTTCAAGTTCACATTGTAAACAAGAGGAGTCATGTATCTTTCAGGAAAGAATGTTGTTAGACCTGTAGTTTAGAAAGGAAACCAACTCTGGCAGTTGCTGGAAACTAACCTGGAAGACAGAGACCCAACAGCAAAAGGACCCTTTAAGGAGGCCTTGCAGTTCAGAGGTCTAAACCTCAGCAGCAATGAATATGGGGGGTACACAGTCAATTTGGGAGACTTTCAGAACTTGGTTCTACCAGGACCTGGTGACTGAAACACATGGGAAAGGAGCCTCATTAGAGAGATCTTAACCCAGCAGTCATCTGTGCCTCAGTTCAAGCCCTGATGGTCTCTGTATCCCACCCACAATCATTCTCCTTCCCAAACACAGAGTTTGGACCTAAGGTATTTGACTGTATATTTCTTTCTGTGTGGAAAGGTTTTAATGGGTAGATAATAATAGCTGCCAGTGATTATAAATCAAGCTACATGTGGTATTAAGTGCTATATGAGCAAAGTGTGTTTTGTTTCTCACATAAAACCTGTTCTCTATCTTATATTCTTTTTTGTCTTTACCTGACTGATTCATACTTACACCTCAGGTCTTAAATATCAGTTTCACAGTGGAACTTCTCCATCCCTCAGACCAAACGAGGTCAGGCCCCTATCAAACACTTCCATGGCAGTTTCCATTCCACAAGAGTCATCAAGGTTACAATTACTTAATTACTTGTTCAATGCCTGTTGTCCAGGCCAGACTGTGAGGCCTACAAGGGCAGAGATTCTGTCTGCCTCATTTACCACTGCACTTGCCATGCCAAACATTTTGTAGGTGACCACCAGATCGTTGAAATAAAATGGAAAAAATACTACCTGATATATTTGCCCCCTCTGATTCTTATGTTGAAATGTAATCCCCAGTGCTAGAGGTGGGGCCTGGTGGGAGGTGTTTGGGTCATGAGGGCTGATCCCCCATGAATGGCTTGGCACCCTCCTCACAGTAATGAGTGAGTTCTTGCTCAAATTCATACAAGATCTGGTTTTTTAAGAGTATGGCACCTCCCCGCTTTTTTTCTCTTGCTCCTGGCTCCCACCATGTGACATGCCTGCTCCGACTTCACCTTTCACCATGAATAAAAGCTCCCTGAGGCCTCACCAGAGCCAAGCAGATACTGGCATCAAACTTCCTGTACAGCCTGCAGAACCACGAGCCCAAGTAAACTATTTTTCTTTATAAATTACCCAGCCTCAGGTATTCCTTTATAGCAATGCAAGAATGGACTAACACACTACCTCAGTAGGAAATAAACCCAATTCAGATCTAGAAAAAAAAACTGAACTGGAACTGGACCTTCTGAAACAAATACAGAGAATAATCACACTTTACTAAAAAACTAAGAAAACACAGATATATTTCTGAACTTTTGGCAAGACCAAAAGAGGAACTGCCCGCTGCTGACTATTCCCTTCCTTACTCAGCCAGCCCCATGACGCCTCCATTCTCCACTCAGACGCTGGTGGTGCTAAAAAAAAAATCTGTTCTTGTTTAATTATAATACCTCTATCCCATCTGGGGCTAATATTCACTTGTATTTTGTAACACAACTGGCAGTCTGCACAAAGAAAACTCTTAGGAGGATAAGTTAAGTGTATAGTCTCTAGATATACAAAAAATATAGCCCATCCTAACCCCAAAATTCCAACTGTTCAAAAGGTTATCACCTTACCCAGCAGTCTTCCTGAAGAATGAATGTCATTGCAGAATATTGTAGACTAGCAATCAGCATCCATTCCAAAATCCTTCTAGCATAAATTTCAGTACCACAGAGGCTAGGAAGCTAAAAACCACATTTCCCAGACTCCATTACAGCTAAAGTTCTAAATGCAAATTAAGTTCTCCTAATTAGATGCACAAGATTTGAAAGGCAGAAGTGAGATGAAGACCATCTTCTTGCTGCTTCTCCCTGCTAGCGCAGCTGTAGAGAAGGGGGGATTTTCTGCCACAGCGTGTTGGTGTCCAATCACTAAGTCTGCAGACATGGAGAGGAATGTTTCATAGCCAAATGGTTGCCTAATCTCTGGGCTGCAGATACACCAGGGTGTTTTTGAAGCCAACAGCTTCAATGGCAGCTCCTGCTTCTGTATCTTCCCAATTAGCGAATAGCAGCTGAGCAAGTGGGCCAGCTCTGCTACGTTCTGGGAGTTGTTCACATAGGTCCGGCTGAGAGCCTCGTCTCCCAGCCCTTACAACAATTCTGCAAGCACTGAATTTCCTATGCTAAATCTCTTTCTTGCTTAAAATAGCTTGAGCATTTCTGAGCCCCAAAATGAATCCTGACTGATTACTATTTTGTGCCTGATGTCGTCTACATGAATGAGAAAAATATGCCTATGTTATAAAGAAAGATTAGAAACCTTTTTGGAGAAATACATGTTAAGAGTCTTCTTAGTCATGGAGGGAAGGAACATTCATGTTTTTCTAGCAGCTTTTACACATATGAAAAGATGTGTGATTCTTTAACAAATTTGTATCTGTTATCTTATTTCCTCGACTGAGTATCTGAATTCTCCTTAAGGGAAATATACTATTGTACTTTCTCTTGTACCCTCCCTTTTTTCCTCCAGTCTTAAGCATAGTTGTAAAACACAGTAGGTGTTAAACATTTATTTAAATGCAGGAGGGATTGAAAAAATAAATGCAGGGAGATTTAAAGGATATGACTTGGTACTAGGGTGCTGAAAGGACAGCTCCTCTAAAAACCTCTGCGGGGAAGGGAAAGCAATAACCTCTCTTTGGGTAGAACACTAAAAATCTCAGGTTCTTGCTAGTTAGTTAAGAAAATGTTATGACCAGACTCCAAGAAAAGTATAGAACACAGCCTTCAAACAGATAAAAGGCAGAACCCAGGAAGAAGGGAGGGAGGAGGGACCTTTTTTTTCTTTCCCTGCTCAGTCCCTTGGGACAGGAACTAAGGAACTAAGGAACTAGAGCTTCAGTTGCCGCAGAGTCTGTGGGGCTCTCCTTCCCTTCCCTGCTCGAGTCAAGGCCTGGTTTTAAGTTAAGAATCAGGTCAAGCTGCATTCAGCACATTTTTCAGTTTCTGTGGAAGGATATTTCCAGGAATAAATCCTTATTCCTTCCTTTTTTTTTTTTTTTTTTTTTTTTTAATTGAGACAGATTCTCTTTCTGTCGCCCAGGCTGGAGTGCAGTGGCACAATCTCGGCTCACTGCAGCCTCCTGGGTTCAAGTGATTCTCCTGCCTCAGCCCCCTGAATAGCTGGGATTAGAGGCATGCACCACCATGCCCAGCTAGTTTTTGTACTTTTAGTAGAGACGGGATTTCACCATGTTAGTCAGGCTGATCTCAAACTCCTGACCTCGTCATCTGCCCACCTCAGCCACCCAAAGTGCTGGGATTACAGGTGTGAGCCACCGCACCCAACCTATTCCTTCCATTTTTAAAGTCAAGATGTTATTCCCTCTCAATCATATGCTTGAAAACTGAATGTTTAACGGCACATTTTGGTGGGTTTTGAGTAAGTGAATGGCATACACTTCACTCAAAAATCTTAAGTACATCTGAAAATATGTCCTCCTATTTCTAGTGGATGTAGATAATAAAAGCTTAAAACTAATATCCTTAATGTATACCCTGTGTGAAAACAGAAACAACTCTCTTGTAAGAGAAACTTTCATATAATACCTAAGATTGTATCTCCCAAGATAATGAGTTTGGAACTATACATTTTTCATCTTTCACTATAATAAAGAAGATGGGTGAGCTCCTGGGTTATTTACAGTTGTAATTCATAGACAGTTAAACTCTAACAGGTACTTACAATGGAGGAGATTAAGGACATTAAAGCACTATATGAATGTAAAATGATTTATAATATCATTTTTCTATCTTTTCTTTGTCATGATATTTGGTAATTTCCTCTTCTGTTTTGAATAGTTTGAGGCCAGGCATAGTGGCTTATGCCTGTAATCCCAATACTTTGGGAGGCTGAGGCGGGAGGACTGACTGAAGCCAAGAGTTCAAAACCAGACTGGGCAACAAAGCAAGACCTCATCTCTATAAAAAAATAAATAAATAAAAATAATTGGCTAGGCCTCTGGTCTCAGCTTCTTTGGGAGGCTGAGGTGGGAGGATCTCTTGAGCCCAGGAGTTCGAGGTTGCAGTGAGCTATGATCACGCAGCTGCACTTCAGCCTGGGTGACAAAGTGAGACCCTGTCTCTAAAAATTTTTTTAAAAAAATTTTTTTTAATGAATTTTGAAGGTAAATTCTCACTTTAAGAAGCAATAATATGAAACTAAAGCTGAACACTATTACTTGACTTAATGTCTTCTACTCATGGTCCAGAATGTAATGTCACAACACATGCTCAGAGGGGAAGTTCAAAAGGGTAACTCTGGGGATGAGGTGTCAGTGGCTCAATTTCATCCCAAGTCTTTGGAGACAAGGTTTGTCAATCATCTTTGCTTTCTGAGTGACACAAACGGATCTGGTGGAGCACACAGATGAGAGAGATGCACCAATCAGTAACAGCCCATGTTCATCTTCTGATGAACCAAGGCACTGCATCTTCACCAAGGCACTACACTGAAGTTTTATATTTACATCATTCATCTCCCTCACGTATCTTATAAGCACCTCCTCATATTATCACTTCTTTATGTCCTGGTGTTTAACATAGTATAGGGTATCTATCATTCACTAGGTACTCAATAATCAGTTTTTGACTGAAATTAAATTTTCTGAATTATCAGAAATTAATTCCAGTCAAAATCAGAACTCCTAGTGAGGCCAAATAAAAGAATATACCAGGTCTTTCAAATGCCATATTCTTCAAGTCAATTCTTACCATTAGAACAAGTTATTTCCTACTTTCTCAACATTTGGGTTCCAGATTTAGGAATCCACTCTATCCAAGGTAACCTGTATGACAATGAAGATAAGTCCTGGCCACCTAATGAAGAAGTATCACACTGTTGGAAAGTGTGGCTCTGTGGACAGTTTTTCAGCCTAAGTCATACTCACTCCTGACTGCTCCGGCACCCAGAGCACAAGATATTAAAGAAACTGAGTTCCTGATCATGAACCTCTTCTACTCTGACATTAGCTGCCCCAGAAAACAAAATCACAAAACTTCACCCACAGAATCAAAATCTGACTTATGTTTAAAATGACACTGTTTTCTAATATGCCAGGCTATTCATATTTCTTCCAATATATAACCAAGTTCATTTTCAACACTATTTCAAAACATTATGCCAGGATGCTTAGCCTTCAGCCTACCAAACTAGTGCCAAAAAGATGTAGTACCTGGAAACAACTTAAAGTAATTTGCTACCTCTAGGCATTTTAAAGATCAAAATGAAGAAATATGAAGTTTTAAACTGAATGAGAGGGAGAGGGGGAACCTAAAGATTTGAACATCAATTTGATAGTCAAAACACCAACAGAAAAAGAACAGCTGAAAAACAAGTGAAGAGGCTATGATTTTGATATTACATGCTAGTTTCTTAAAAAAAAAAAAATCTTAAGATAGGCCAAGCACTTTGGCTCATGCCTGTAATCCAACATTTTAGGAGGCCGAGGCGTGTGGATCACTTGAGGTCAGGAGTTCATGACCAGCCTGGCCAACATGGTGAACCCCATCTCTACTAAAAATACAAAAATTAGCTGGACGTGGTGGCAGCCGCCTGTAATCGCAGCTACTCAGGAGGCTGAGGCAGGAGAATTGCTTGAACCCGGGAGGCAGGGGTTGCAGTGAGTTGAGATTGCGCCACTGCACTCCAGCCTGGGTGACAGAGCGAGACTCCATCTCAAAAAAAAGAAAAACACACACATCTTAAGATAAAGTAACACAACTGCTGAGGTAAAAAATAAGGCCAGAAACGTAATTGTTACAAAGGAAATTTTAAAACTAAATATTTAAAGTTGGTCCTTGCTAATGACATTTTAAAAAATCAATTAAGATGAAAGTATACAAAATAAGGAATAAACAGTAATTAATATATATTAACAATACCTTTTTAACAGATAAAAGATTATGGAAACTCTCAAATACAAAGTAGTGTAAACTGCACTAAAGAGATATTTACATGTTTTTTTTCTGAAACAACCTAGTATGAGTAAGGGATTCTAATGGCAATTTAACTCCCTTGTAAAAACACAGATTTCATTACAGGGTATGAAACACAGGGCTCCTGGAAAATTGACGGAAACCAGGACACTGGCAGAAAGGCCCTGGGAGAGACCCCTGAGCATGGTCCCCCTATGATTTGGCCAGTTCCAAATATGGGCAAGGATCTAGGGAGAGAAGAAAGGAGAAAATGTATTTCCCGAACAGCCTCACTGTCAAGGGACTGGGATTCTGCCACCGTACCTTGCAATCCTGATCTCCCATGGGGGAACTACATACTTTTCCCTCTCTGATCATCACTTGTCCCACCCCAACTCCAGACACACACATCTCTTAGCACATTAAATGAGTAAGACTCCTAAACGTATAACTTCTGAGATACAAGGATTAGGATCCAAGAAATCAACCCGACATTTTACAGGCACTTGAGCCTTGAGTTCACACAGGCTTCCGGGACTGGTGAGCTGGCCCAGCCCTGCGGGAGACACCCCCATCTCTTTGAAAGCACATGCCTTTAAGGGGCGGGGACAGGTATTAGAAGAGGTGGTGGCAAGGTCCCAAATTTGGCGACCAAGGCTAGGGACACTAAACACTAGCTTGCCATAAACACTTCCAGATTGGACATGGCGGGGAGAGGGGAAGGTAACAGAGGAAGGGACTGGGGAACAGACAGATTCTCAGGCTGCGACTTCAGAAAGTGGAAATCGAGAGCCACTGCTTCGGTGCCAAATGAAGGTGAAGAAGCCCAAGTGCCTGAGGAGTGGACAGGCCCTGCGGCGTCTTGAGTGCGCCAAGCGAAGCCCGGGCTGCCCAAGCGCGTGCGCCACCCACACCCGGGTCAACCGTGCCTCCGCCCACCCCCATTCTAGCCCTCGCGGAGGGCTCCCCCCTGCCCCGACAGCGCCCCTCCACCCCGCCCCCGGTCTCCGTCATTACCCCTCCCCGCCCGGCTCCCGGGCCCCGCCTTCGCCTTACATTGAATAGGCGGGTAGCAACTGGGGTCCTCGCCGCCGGGCTGGCAGCGGCTGGAGAAGGCGCTGCGCGGGGTCACGTAGTTGCTGGGGAAGATGCCCACCCGCTGGTTCAGCTGCCCGGTCCACCATCCCTCGTCGCCGGACACCTGCGAGTCCTTGGACAGCACCTCCACCACGTCGCCCAGCCGCAGGGTCAGCTCGTCCTCGCCCGCCGCCTCGTACTCGAACACGGCCGTCCAGTAGGGCAGCGGCGCGTCGCAGCGCATCTCCCCGGGGCCCGCCGCTGCCGCCGCCGCCTCCTCCTCCTCCTCTTCCTCCTCCTCGGCCCCGGCCCCGGCTCCATCCTCCCCCGGCGGGGCGGCAGCGGCGGCGCTCGTCAGGCAGCCGAGAAGCGCTCTGGAGGGCTCCATGGAGCGGCCGATCCATAGGGTGCGGGGCCGCCGCCGCCCGCAGGAGCCGCCGCCGCCTATTGTTCATGCGCCTCCGCAGAGCTGGGAGGAACCCCCCCGACGGCGGCCGCAGGTAGGGCCCGGGCTGGCGGGGCTGGGACAGCCGGCTCGCCGGGGCTGTGGCCGCGGTTCGAGGAGACCGCCTAGCGCGAGCGCCCCGCGCAGCCCAGGGGCGGGGCGGGCCGAGTCCCCGCCTGCCCGCTCGCCCCCCGGGGGCGGCCTCGCCACCTCCGCCGCCGGTACCTGCTCGCGCAGCCGGTGCCCGCCGCCGACCGCCGGCCGCCGCTCTCCTCTCCTCGCCGCGCCCCGCCCCCCGCGCCGCCAGCCCGCCGGGACCACCTGACGCGAGCTGGCTCCGCCCAAGCCCTGCGGACCCGAGGGGGGCCCGCCCCGCGCCTGCCCCCGCCCCGCGCCCGCCGCCTTCCTATTGGCTGCGACAGCCCCGTCCCCGGTTCCTCCGCAGTGGTTGGGGCAGCCTCGCAGGTCCGTCTCACTCCCTGCGCCGCCGCCGCACCGTGCCCGCCCCCTTTGCAGGCTCTCTCATTCTCCAACCCAGGTCGACCCACTCCTCCTGCCGATTGGCCCGCCGCAGCTCCCACCATTGGCCCGCGGCACCTGTCCGTTTCCTGGGAGAATTCAGCACCTCCCGACAGAAAGAGGCTCCGGCCTCACTGGGTGCGTGAGGAGGGAAGGGTGGACCCTAAAAGGTAATACTGAGCCTTCATTCAGACTAAAAAGGCTGGAAGGGAGGCCGCTGCCTTTGTTTGCGATGGATGGGTAGGGGCTGCACTGGGCAGCACCGGTATTCTCCATCCTAAAGGGGCTTCTGAAAGTAGGCACAGGGGAAGCGAGCTGGGCTGCACACCCCACAGAGCTCTTTCTTCCCCAGACCCCTTTTACAGTTGGATTCTCCCCTCTCATGGATCTGGCTCTGCCCTAGTCCAACCTAGAGGGCCACTCTCACCCGCAACCTTTCATCTCCTATTGAAGCCTTTTAGGCCCATTGGGATGTTCATTAGAACTCTGAACACTACAGCTCTTCCCATTTTTTTTTTTTTTTTTTTTTATGAGTCTGAAAGTTCTTACCTTTATGAAGACGGCACCACAGCTCGCACTCTCCTGGATTCCTATAGGAAGAGATCCAATGCCACTCTTTTTAGAATTCAGAAAGGCAAGAGACCACCTTACTGGGTTTCAAACTGAGTCTGGGAACGCTGCCATGAATTGGGCTTGGTCTGTCTGAAGGGAGCCAACTTTTCGGAAATCTTTAAGCTTCTTTTTTATTTATTTTTAAAGATGGGGTTTCACCACGTTGGCCAGGCTGGTCTTGAACTCCTGAGGTGATCCACCCATCTCAGCCTCCCAAAGTGCTAGGATTACAAGCGTGAGCCACCACACCCGGTTCCTTAGGCTTCTTTTACCTGATGGAATTACATCTTGCATCGTGGTGAAATCTATAGAGGTCAGATTAAGAAGAACCAAAGCAGAGTAAGCGCAGAAGCGGATGATGAGTTCATGAGTGAGAACGACCTTTTCCTATGTGCTTTTGCTATACCCCGTGTTTTGAACATTAAGAAAGAGATAGGAGGTCCATAATGTGTCTTCTTGCTTTAATCCTATCATACCAACGTTCACTTCCAATAAGAAAGGTTCTCTGATAACTGCTTTCTTTCTTTTTTCTTTTTAAGACAGGGTCTCACTTTGTTTTTTTTTTTTTTTTTTTTTAGACGGAGTTTTGCTCTTGTTTCCCAGGGTGGAGTGCAATGGCGCGATCTCGGCTCACCGCAACCTCCGCCTCCTGGGTTCAGGCAATTCTCCTGCCTCAGCCTCCTGAGTAGCTGGGATTACAGGCACGCACCACCATGCCCAGCTAATGTTTTTGTATTTTTAGTAGAGACGGGGTTTCACCATGTTGACCAGGATGGTCTCGATCTGTTGACCTCGTGATCCACCCGCCTCGGCCTCCCAAAGTGCTGGGATTACAGGCTTGAGCCACCGCGCCCGGCCACAGGGTCTCACTTTGTTGCGGAGTGCAGTGGCACAATCTCAGCTCACTGCAGCCTCATCATCCCAGGCTCAGGTGATCCTCCCACCTCACCCTCCCTTGTAGCTGGGAATACAGGCACGTGCCACCACACCTGGCTAATTTTGTTTATTTTTTTGTAGAGACAGGGTCTCACTGTTGCCCAGGCTTGTCTTGAACTCTGGGCTCAAGTGATCCGCCCGCCTCGGCTTCCCAAAGTGCTAGGATTGCAGGCCTGGACCACTTCACCTAGCCCTCTGAAATTTCTAAATAAGCCAGTGCTGAAAGGTCTACCAAACTTTGTTACCTTTTCTCCTTCAGTGGTAGGAATAGACATGATTTATTTAGCAAGAGTGAGTGCTTTTGTTGAATTTTAGTTTGGGGTTTATTATTTCACAAACTAAAGACAGTGGGGCAGTTTGGAAAGGTAACTAGGCAGCTGCGTGACTTTAGGCAGGTGCCCTAATGCTGTTCTCTTAAAGTGAGGGGTGTGAACTGGAAGATATCCTATGTCCTCATAGTTTGGACATTCTGTGGTTTGCTCATCAATATGACCACACTGTATAGTCAGAGCACACATTTAAGGTCTTCAAGAGAGATGAGGTTTGTTCTAAAAAGCATCCAGAGTAACATCCTGAGAAACGATTTCTATTTAAGGCCCTAAAACAATGCTCAGGTTCTTATTAAATATAGGATTCATGACCTGGAAAAGATATAGGTGAGTCTGAATAAATTCTCTAGGATTTGTTTTAGACAAAACCATTCCTCAAGCAGAAGGGAGCAAGGAAGTGGGGTGGAGGTATTTTGTGTTTTTTTTAAAGGCCATAAGAAAAAAATTGTCTTGATAAAATTTTAACTTGGGGCTGGATATGGTGGCATGTGCCTGAAATCTCAGCAGTTTGGGAGGCTGAGGCAGGAGGATCACTGAGCCCAGGAAGGAGACCAGCCTGAGCAACATGGCAAGACCCTTATCTCTATGAAAAAAATTTAAAATTCGCCAGTCTTGGTGACGTAAGCCTGTAGTCCCAGCTACTCAAGAGGCTGAGGAAGGAAGATTGCTTGAGCCTAGGAGGGCAAAGCTATAGTGAACAGTGTTCGATGCACCATACTCCAATCTGGGTGACAAAGCAAGACCCTATCTCAAAAAAAATGTTTTTTTTGCTTGGGGGGAAAAAGAGTTTTACAAACTGACTGTAGATACACAGCACAACAGAAACAGGAAAAAAAGTACTAAACAGAGAAAAATGTCAGTGGTGGATCTCTAAGTAGTGGGATTATGAGTAATTGGGTAACTTTATTGTCATTTTGCTTCTCCATTATTTTGTATGTTCTACTATTTAGTTTCGTGAATTCCTTCCCTCTCCCTGGGAAGAGAGGAGAAAAATCATTGATCCTTCTCAATAGGAAAACTCTAATTCCCTGCACAACTTAAATCTTTAATACCGTAACATGTGTTTAGAATCTCATAAAGAGTCATTCATCAAACATTTCAACAAGTCATTCAGTTAATATTTGTTGAATGGATAAGTGCTAGGAATTCAAATGAGGGTAGATCTTTCAGACTAAACTTGTCTGGCAGGGCTGCATGGAACAAGCAGAACCAGAACTGATACTGGGGGGGCACGAGGTGGAGCAGGGAAGAGTGTGTTCAGGAAAGGAGGGTGGGAATGGGTACAGCCACAGAGGTAGGAAAGCATGGAAAGGGCGGCCATTTGGATGGAATAAAAGGATGAAAAAGAACTCTGAAAAGATAGGTTGAGACCAGATTGTAGAGGGCCCTGTAATTACTTGATTCATACTAGTAATTATGTAATTGATTATTTGTAATTATTTAATGTCTAGTGCATTCACCATAAGGGCAGGAACCAGTCTGCCTCTCCACAGCTCTCCCAGCACCTAGAGAGTGCTTAGTACATAATTGACTCTCAGTACTTATTTGCAACTGGATGACTGACTTGAATCCTAGCCTAAGAAGCCTTGGTTTTGTTCAGCATATAAAAGGTTATCACTGAAAGGTTTTGAGTAGGGCTGAGAAGTGATCAAATATTGCCTTCCCTGAGGACTAGAATGGATGAGGAGAGATAGATGCTTAAGCTGGGCATTGAAAGATATATAAAACTTGATTAATAGAGAATAGAAGATGTGGAAATAGAAATTAATGTAATGGGCCGGGCATGGTGGCTCACGCCTGTAATCCCAGCACTTTGGGAGGCCGAGGCAGGCAGATCACCTGAGATCAGGAGTTCGAGACCAGCCTGAACAACATGGAGAAACCCCATCTCTACTAAAAATACAAAATTAGCTGGGTGTGGTGGCGCATGCCTGTAATTCCAGCTACTCAGGAGGCTGAGGCAGGAGAATCGCTTGAACCCAGGAGGTGGAGGTCGTGGTGAGCCAAGATCATGCCATTGCACTCCAGCCTGGGCAACAAAAACAAAACTTTGTCTCAAAAAGAAAAACAAAAAAAGAAAGAAAGAAATTAATGTAATGAGTAGCAATAATAGAAATTTCAGCCAGAGAAGAGGAGAGAATGCAAAAAAGGGAGTGACGGGATATAAAAGTGATGAAATAAAAGAAGGGCTCATTGTAAAAGACTTTGAAAGTCAAGTGGAATTACCGAGATTTTACCACTATGAAGATTTTGAGGAGGGGTTTGGTGGATGTCACCCCCAAAATGAAACATTTTCTCTGCCATACTGAAAAGTATAGCGTAAGGTAGGGAAAAAATAGCAATCCGTGATGCAAGTTGGCATTAGAATTAAGTCAACAGATTATGGTTTATCCTGGCTTTGTCTTCTAAAAATGCTGTGACTTTGGGCAAGGCACCTGTTTGAACCTCAGTTTCCTCATTTTTAAGTAGGCGTAATAATAAAACCTGGTTTTAATGGATGCTTATAGGATTAAATGAGACAGGAGATGCAGAAGCTCTTAGCATGCTGCTCACACCCAGCAAATAATCAACATATTTTTTTCCTTCTTTCACCTGCCCATTACCCCCTAGAAATACCCTTTAATTACACCCAGTCCTCTTGACTGGAAGTTGAACCCAGGGTTTTCCCTAAAGGAAAGAGAGAGAAGGAAGGAAAAAGGAACAGAGGCCTCTGGGAGGCCAAAGTGGGTAGATCACTTGAGCTGAGGAGTTCAAGACCAGCCTGGGCAACATGGTGAAACCCCATCTCTACAAAATAGAAAAATTAGCCAGGCATGGTGGTGCCTGTGGTCCTAGCTTTTGGGAGGCTGAGATGGGAGGATCAC